CGCGCCGCTCTCGATCCTGCTGTCCAGCCGGATCCTGGGCGGCGCCTTTCGCCTGGGTGCCTGCCTGCTCCGTGCTCGCTGGATACCCGGCTGGGAAAGTGAATAGGAAAACGGACAGCTCGCCTGGCCCCCAACGGACCCCAGGCCCGCTCTGCCCGCACTCGCCGTCCCTCCCGGATGGCGTGGCTCACGGACCCGAGGCCTCAGCCATCATTTTACCAGGAACCAGGGGCCGGCCCCCATTTAGGGTGAGCCCCGTGGAAGTCCGGGGAGGCTGCCCTTTCTCCCTTCTGCTGTGTCCACCTTACTACTATTGCATATTGTTTTATGAAGGTTTCCGTGGACGTATTCTGCAGACCCTCACATCCCTTCCAAAGTAGTTTCCCAATTTTAATCAGGAGTTGGTGTTCAGTCTGAAGGAACAAAGGAACCAACTGTGTCTTAGAGGCGGACAGGCTGGGAGTCTGTGACACATGTTGATCTCTGAAGCATTCCAGGAGTTTCTGCCTTTTATCACGTCAGTAATTGGCTGCTGAAGGTAGTAAAAGAAGTACGGAATGATAAGCACTTTTGCTTTTTAAAAATATTTTTTAATGGCACATTTTACTTTGGGGAAAAAAGACGTTCTTAGGCACAAGGATTTTTAAAAACTCGGCTGGTGGAACTGAGGTGGAGTTTGTCTCTGGTATTGTAAATGATTACATGTGGGATTGTGAAGGAAATTGTGTCGTTAGAGGAAGAGAAGCCATCTGTAGGTGTCCGTAGTAAAAATGGTTGTCGGGTTATAGGTGATGAATGCTCTTTCTGTTTCTTGGGAAAATTTGTGAAGCAAGGGGCTTCGGTAATTCATTCTTTAAAGTTATGAATTGCATTGAATGCTTATTAGTGAATCATAGGTTTAGTAAGTGGGTGGCATTATTCAATGTTTAATCATCAGTTTTCCACCTTTGTGGAAGAGACAGTGAGATAATAGACTTTTTAAACAAATGGTGTTTCATCTGCTTAGCCCCTAAGTGTCGGTTGCCGCCTGGTGTATGTTGAAGTGTTTTCACCTTCGAAGTGAGTGAATTGCTCTGCTTTTGCCCAGCCGTTTGGTAATGTCGATAGGGTTTATTTGGTTCGGGGGAGCGCTGGCTTCATCACCTGTAGTAACTTTTTTTCTGCCTGGGCATAGTTCCTAGAGACAAAGAAGGAGAATCAATTAGTGGAACAGCTACTGCCCTGCAGGTTACAGGATTGGTTGCTCTAGTCTGTGTCATACTCTAGTGGAGAAAGACCTCTTTCCAAACTTACCCTAGGAAGTGCCCTAGGAGTGTGAGCAAAATACAAAAAAAAAAAAAAAAAAAAAAAAGGACTGTTCGTTGTTGATTTTATTCAAATGAGTTAGGTGAAAAGGCAGGTTTAATGCCTGTGGGAAGTTAGTTGAAAACCAGGTTTAATGCCTGTTTTACATGCATTTGCAAACTCTGTAGAACTTGGATTTTGCTAATTTTAACAGCCTAAAATGTTGTTAACTTTGCACTAAAGAAATGTGTGAAGAGACTAAAGGCTTTTCTGACTCTTGCAGTTGTAAGTGCAAAACATCATGATAAAAAATAACCTATACCACCACCTAGAGTCTGTTTGTTAGTTTATTGCTGATGAAGTTTGCTTAAATTGACATGCCTGTTATAGTTCTGATACAGTCGAAAATGATTAAGAAGTACTAGCTTTCGAAAGGCCATCCAAGAGAACAATTATTTAAGTAATAAATAGCAAGTGCCAATTTAAATTATCCATGCCACCTTTAGAATGGAAAATTATGACATATCAAGTTGAGTGGGCTATTCTCCAAAAGATATTAATTCAAGAGATTTTGAAACGGAGTTTTCAGTGTGTGTGCCAAGGCAGTTCTGATTGCTTAAAGACTTCTTCGTTGTTTTCAGAGATTCAAGAACTCTTCCAAATCAGATGCCATTAGAACTTTTTGAAGTTCAGATGAAACAAAAGCAAAAAGATAGGAGAGCATTACAACTACAGAAATTCGGGAAATTCAGAAGTTCAGAGAACGCAGCCCATGGCAGAGTTGTGGTTCAGAGATATGAAAAGTAAAATCAATGTGAATTAAAGTGATAATCTGTTTTGCTGGTAGTTTATATGTGGTAAAGCAGTGTATTAAATGAGAGACGTTAGGGAGGCAGCTTTGTTGCCATGTGGCTTATCACATTGTCCATGGAGGAAGTAATGTTCCTCCTTTAAGTGGTATAGCCTGAGAGAAAGATAGCCTCCAAGATCTTTAATTAAATACCGGTTGAACAGAAAGAACTAGAGCACTGTATTAATTCCGTCAAACATCACTATTTTAGAACATTGAGGACAACTAAAAATGAATTAACGCATATCTGAAAGCAGAGTTTGATAGAAGGTGACAGATGAGGCAAAATATGCCAATCTAATGGAACAAATAAGATAAGGAGATATGCCATCCTTGACTCTAGAAAGATCAGAGGGAAGATGGTTATTGTTAATTGCACAGATTCTATTGCAGACCAGTGCTAGAAGACAATGACATAGAAGTAATTTTAAATCAGAGTGACTTAGGATATATGAAGTTAAAGGAATTTGGCTTTTAATTTTAAAACATAGAGAGTGTAAGAAACTTAAAAGCTCATGTTCTAACTGTTGTTTGGGAAAAACTAATAGTTTGGTGTATCAGGTTAAAAGATAATTTTGCTCAGAATGAGTTTAAAATACCGAATTTTTGTCAAGGAAAGCATTATTCACTTTAAATTGTGATAGGGTCAGTTTTGCATTGAGATTGCTTGATACAATTAGTTTTTAATGTAGGTTAGTAAGAGAAGAGGAGTTCTAGTCTCTTCCCTACCCTTTCCCTCCCTCCCTTGCTTTCTTCCCCTTTTCTAAAATAAACAGCGTCTACATCTTTGGATATTTTCTTCTGTGAAAAGTGCCTTGGTTGCAACTTTCCTTCTTGGCTGTGGTTGGGGTGAAGTTTCTTCACTCTTGTGCTTTTCTGCCCCTTCAGGTGACTGATACACATTCAGAGTGAGTTTTATTTTGTGTGTTTGTTTAATAATGATTTACTGTTACGCGGATGAAGACTGGGAAAAAGCATTTGTCGTTCTAGCAAAGTCCTGTATACCCATGTCTTCCAACTGGAGAAATATTTTCATTAAAATAATCTTGACAACTATTGAAAAGTCAAAAGAAAAATTTCAGCAGCATATGCTAGGGGGCTCGCAGGATGTATGAGTCTGAATCTGTGAACTAAAAATGAATTCAAGTTGCATTTCCTTAAGTTGTAGTTTTTTCAGGGACTTTTGGGGGAGGGGGAATGAGCAAGCTCCTCCTGTAATATTTAGATAATACAACAATTAGAGAAATGTAACACCAGTATGGTTGCTAAGACTTGAGAAGGTAAAAAACCAGGAGTGTCAGATGATGAAACAGGCCATTGGAATGGAACTAAAGATTATGTCGAGAGGTTGGAATGAACAAAAAGTAAATGGAGGAGAGAGATCTAGTTTCTGTATCCTGTTTGCATCTGATGCTGAAGCAGA